CTATCTATCTATCTATCTATCTATCTATCTATCTATCTATCTATCTATCTATCTATCTATCTATCTATCTCTTTCCATTCATCCAGCCATTTTATATATGCCCATGATTCTGGACAGCTTTGCAAAATTAAAACAAAACGCCTAAAACCCCAGAAGCATAGTAACCCTACCAAGCATTAAAACAATACAGGTAGTCCTTGACTTATAACCCCAATTGAGGCTGGAACTTTAACCGCTAAGTAATGTGGTCGTTAAGCAAGTTGTGCCCAATTTTGTGACCTTTTTATGCTGCAAATAATGAATTGCGTACACCCTTTCCTTTCCAGATATACAACTTGTCCCAAAACATCCAAGAAGACGACCTCCAGCAGCTCCAGGTAGGCAGGAGCTCTCCATAAAGTGTGTGATTATTTTCATGCAACTGGTCCTCAGTGTTGTGTTGTTTTCTTTCTCTGTGCAGCTCTTTACCGAATACGGGCGTCTGGCCATGGACGAAATCTTTCTCAAGCCATTCCAGGTATGTGTTTGGTCAGTCAGGAGTAGGGAGAGGGAGACTGCCTGGGCCACCTCGGGCTCCATTTATAATTCACCTGTGGAACTCACAGCCACAGGAAAACATGAAAACTTTGAAATCCAGGCAAAAGTTGTGAATCTGAAAAGCTTTAAGTTGGCCGTGCTCGGATTCGGGTTAGAAACTTGATCCCGTGTCTTGGGTTCTAACCACTGTTTTGAGATCAAAGCAGAGTTGTCTTGATTTTGCTTCTCCAGGATCTGGGACAACTTGGATCGAATTGAATAATTTTGCATTCAGATATTTTGCACCCTTTAAAAAAAAACAAAAAAAAACCAGGCACCGTCTAAAGATCGCAAGCTTCCTGCTTGGTTTAAAAGCCACTTCGGTGGACAAAAGCTTTAAATATTAGTTTATTTGCTGGCTTTATCTGCCACGTTACTTTCAAGATAGCTTATATACAGCAACCTAATCTCCCTTCCACAACAACAGTCCTGTGAAGTAGGCAGGCCTGAGCCAGAATAACCTGCCCAGAGTCCCACAGAGAAGGGACTTCTATGGCTGAGGGAGGATTTGAATCTGGGTCTCCCCATTCGTAGTATAGTATCTTTACCACTGGAACACCACTGCCTCTGATACTGAGAGGGAGGAACTGACCCCCAAGTCCTCCAGGGAATTCCTGTGGTCGAGATGGGACTGAAGATCTCTGCTCTCTGGGTCCAGAACAGAATAACAGTGTTCGAAGG